AAGGTACACCTGGTTAGCTCATAAATGCAAATGATGCATGTCACACATTCACGATTTCATTGACTCAACATTCCATATTTCACATCTCATCATATCTCATGTCACATTATTTCACAATGTCATATCACAGATCATACGTTCACCTTTCACATTCTCACATCATATTCACATAGTCTCATACAAGAAACTTCTCGTCATCATATACATCAAAATAGTACATTAATCATACCAAGAACTTATCCAAAACATGAAGCCATCATCAACTTTACATATAATGCCTCAAATCATTCATAGATCATATTCCTAATTTTACTTCATAGGGTTTCCCAAAAGAACCCACAGAGCACTCTAATTCTTATCAAAACTTATATGTTTTCAAAATTAATCACATATTCATACATCTCATTCAAGAAGGAGTACAACAGAAGAATCAGAAATCAAAACAGAAAACGTTCATATTTTGCCTGATTCTCATATAGGGTTCTCTCAGGAACCTACAGAGCACTCTAATTCATATCAAAACATATTTAATTTTGAAATCAAATACATATTCACACTCTACATCACATAAGGAATGCAATAGAACATTTAGAAAGCAAAACAGAAAATAATCATATTTTGCCTGTTCCTAGAAAAATGCATCAGGTAAGGGATTGGGGGCCAATCCTATTACCCACTTGATTAATGTGTAGCTATGGCTGTGCTTGTTATGATTTGTGTGTGTGTTTCCTAACTATTATTTTTACACCTGAAACTGAGTGAGATGTTTCTCACTCTCTTGTTGTTCTTTATATGTGTTTAAATTGTGTTGTAGGTGATCATCAGCATGAGGATGTTGGTGATGGGGCTTAGGCTTCAATTGGGTATGCTCTGATACGATATGTGACATCGAGGCATAGCTAGGGTTAGTTTAGAATTTCATTATTGTTATTTTATTTTGGAAAAACTCATGTTTCATTTTTCTATAAATTTCGCATTTAACCATGTTTTAAGTTTACGAATGTGAATTCTCTATCTTATGTTAATGGAACCATTGTTTCAATTTAAATCAATTATTTATAAACATATTCATGCTCAGCGCAGTCAACTCACGCCTGGCCTAACACCAACCTAAGAGCTCTAAGCTCTTCCACGCCCGACGTGCTCAACCTGCGCTTGGCCTAATCCTAGTCAGAGAGTTTCAAAACTCTCATCCAAACCAACAAATTCAGCCACATGCAAACACAAAACACAATGCATAGGCTCCATATAACTCAAAATAAACTTAAATCTCACATGCATCCAACCAATGCATCAAAATCATCAAAATCCTCATTTTTCTCAAAACCCCAAAAATGAGATTTTCTTCAATCCGTCTATGGATTCTCAACATTCATGCATCAATTGAGTTTATAAACTCACATGCAACCTAAACAACAAACATTCTAGCTTCCCTCACCTAAAGATTGACTCAAAATAGCCAATAACTGAGAAGAAGTAGAATTCCCTTCCGAAGCTCAACCCGGAACTTCAATCCTCCCAAAGCAAGCATTCTAGTCTAAATTTCAAGAAAAGACAAAAGATATTAGTGATCTAGAGGAGAAAAAGAATCATACAGAGAAATTTGAGAGAGAAAAGAGCTCACAGACCTAGAATCCTTCTCTCTAAAACTTCTCACTAAAAACTTCACTTTCTCCTCAACCATACAACCCCTATTTATAGAAGTTCCGGAGTGGTCAGAACGGCCCGTTTCGAATCCAGAACGACCCGTTCTGCACCCCTTCATCATTTGTAAAAATCACATGTAGAACAGCCCGTTCTGAAATCAGAATACGGGTCGTACTCTCTCTAGAACGGCCCGTACTCCATCGAGAACGGCCTGTTCTCAATTACGATTTACAAGTCAATTTAGTAGTTTGGAACAGCCCGTTCCAGTTTGGGAATGGCCCGTTCTGGGCTACTAAATCACCCATATTGAGCTTTTAGGCCTTCTGAAATAACTTACTACGTTACATAAGTTGTTTTATAACTTCAAACATTCTTAGGTAAAGCATGTAGAAGTTTAATGTTAAAAAATATTTGGGTTTATTATCTTCATATAAGATTACTATTGTATAGCCATAAGTGACTTAAAGAATACATATATAATTAGGTTGGTTAGCGAAATTTTTTTAGTTTAAAGTTGTGTAATACATCAATAACATTAGTGTTGCTTTAATATTTCTTTAGCAAATATTTTTAATGTGAGCAATTTAATTATTCATTAAGAATAATTAAGTTTATTAAATTTGACTAGATGTGAAGTTAATGTAAAGTTTATACTTTGATTGGTGGTTGATGTTAATCAAAGTATAGTTTACATGTATAGATAGATTGGTGCTGATTAGTTTGCATTCCAAAATTGGTTAACAATACCTTGTCAATTTCTTATTTTTCACCAATTTTAGGTGTTGTCAACAACCTTTCATTTATTATGCATTTATTCTTTTAAATAACCCTAGTCTAGAAGCCACTATCTTGAGTGTTAGGTTAAGTTATTATGTCTGTAACCGCTCATTAAATTCCTAGTCTCACAGTTCCTTAATCTTTGAAGTAACAAACAGGAGATAGTGAAAGTAATAGGAATAGGAAAAGATTGTTCCTTTCACAAGAAAATGGGACACGTGAGAGAACTAGAAGATACTTATCTTGTTGACATTTTGAAATATATGCAATATTAGTAATCAAATAGTACAGCAGCACATGACAAGTGCATTGAAAACCACTCAAGAAAACCCCACGCCAACTCTAAAACATATTGTGCTATAACATTCACCAAAGCCAAAAAGTTAAAGAATACATGAAAGATAAGAACCCCATAAAGAGGAAAAGAAGGGGAATGTGGTCCTACACTCCCCCTATGCAAGTATCCCACACAGGCTGTTACAGGGAATAATAAATAATGAAAAAGCCTGATTGCTCACATGGACTAAAACCAAAAAGCAAACTGACACCACACATGCCCTTGCCTCACAATAGCACATGCACATGCTCACTGTCCCCTAAGCCTCTCACTACCTAGTGTGTGTTTTGCAACCAAATCCAGAAGGTGAATCATCACTCTTTTTTAACATTAACAAAGAGTAACTCTTTCATGGATTGACATGATTCTTGTTTGGATGTGGATGAGACATGCATCCAAACATGTCCTTAATAACACCATCCTAAACCTTTCACTTCTCTCTAATAATCATTTTTCTTAAACTATCAATTGCAAATTAACCACACCCAAATCCACACATCTCATAAATCAGAAAACTTTTTTTTCCCCTATCTAGTCTAATCTAATATTTTACACAAAATACTATAGTTAGTACATTACATATATATATTTGCTCTTCAGCACACATGATTTTGGTCTTGATCTCTTCCGGGTCAATCTCTTGTTTAGTTGAAATTGGAACTATTGAGATGCCAATAAGGTGCATTGCAAGTGTCTATGGCAAGTGATTAAGTGGTCATTGGTGAGTCCAGCTGCTTGCATAAATGAATGTAGGACTGTTGGACCTACAAACCTAAAGCCCCTTCTGATCATGTCTTTGCTCATGCTCTCTGATTTTGACGTCTTCACTGGGATCTTGTGGCCGAACTTGTATTGCGTGGAGATGGGTTTGTGATTGACAAAACCCCAAATATATTTGTCAAATGAACCAAAGTCCTTGTTAATCTGTAATGGCACAATTTAGAAAGAGAATATTAAAAATCTATAACTATGTGGCACAATTTGATGGTTTATTCACCACATAACTTGTTATCACCTAAACTGCAAATAAATTAGTCCAACGCGGAATTAAATTAGTTGTCTCTTTCTATGTCTCCTCAATTAAAAAATAACACGTCAGAAAAAGAAATCAGCAATTGAGAGAGAGAGAGAGAATGTTGATATTTAAGAGAGAAAAAGTTTTGTAGTGACAATTTGTTTTTCTGTTAGACAGGAAAAGAGGACACGTAATTTCAGTCCCTACCCAATACTTTCAAAAAGAATTGTTTGCGAGTACAGCACACATTAGTTAATTTAATAAGAATATATGAACAGTATAATTTATTTATTTTTTATGTGTCAAAAGGTTGATACGGCTGGAAAATTTAACATAGGGTGTCAAAAAATTCATATGGGGTCAGACATTAAAATTTATCTCCTATTGGAGTTTGTTTATACACAAACTTTCTAGTCAATGGGATTAAAGAGAAATTTACAAAATGCAGTTCTGTTCAAGAAAAAGGTCATTATTGTTACACTTTACTTCTCATCATTGATACTCTTAACTAATCTGTTTTTTCTGTCAAGAATATTCACTTAATTCGCGCAAACTAATGCTCTGGAGGGCCATAATGTGTGCAATGAAGAGAGACCAATTAGAAAAGAGAGAGAGGAAAAAGGCCATAATTCTTGCTCACCTCTAAAATTCGGTTAGCATTATCAACAACACCTCGAACTCTGCTTATATCAATGCCATATTCCAAACTAATAGACATCATTTGTTTATCGGTCAAGTTGGCCAAAGTTGATGCATCAAATTCTGAAAATGCAGTCCTGTGCATAATTTAAAATTCATTAGTTGTTTCATTTAAGGGACCCCGTAAGAAAAAGGTGCATGTAGCTGTGCTATGCAATGATGCATTTAAATGTTCCTCTTAGCAGAATCCAACCTGAAATCCTGGCGTTTCTTCAAGATTGAGGTCCAATCGGATCCAACCTGAGCACCACTTAAAACTAGAAGTTCAAACAACATCCTGTATACACAACAATGTTTTTGCCAATCATCAGTTGCCTCTGTACATCTTTTGTTTGATCTTATAATTATGTTGCTTTTTAATAAGAATTGGAGTTTTGCTTCATTAATATATATTTACATTTAAATACATCTATAATATTACTAAAACAAAATTCCATTTCTAGAGATCAATATTAGAGTACTTAAGAACTGGCTTACTTGTCATCATGAATTGGAACTCCCCATTCTTCATCATGATAAGCAATATAGATGGGATCTATATATATAAAAAGAAACAATGAGATTAGAACATTGCACAATGTATAAAAAGTGGGAGTAAATTTATATTCTAATTTGAACTCTCGGTTACCTGAATTGGCTGTGATAAAGCTGCATCTCTTCTCCTCCTCACTTGTCTTTGAGGTAAGATTGGCTGAAGTATCAAGAGGAACAACTTTTTCAAACTTAGCAGACTTTGATCTTCCATAATGTGCAATCTTCATTTTCCTCTCTGCATGCTGCAGTGCCATCTGTTCTCTCCTCACTGCTGCTATGCTCCCTGGGGATTCAGTGATCAAAGAGGAAGAGTAACTTAATGATGCCTCCTTAAAACTCTTGGACTTTTTCCTCTCTAGAGTTGATGGAGTTTTTGTGGTGTTTCTTGGGGTCACAATCTTTTCAGAACTTGAGTTCAGTCCATTGCTCTCGTTGCCTCGCTTTATTGCTGGAGGCCTTGGGGACTTAGGCTTTGGAGAAATTGGAGGTGTCAATGAGGTCTTGTTTGGTGGTGATGGGGGAGAAGGAGATTTTGGTGACACTTTTTTTATTGAATTTCTCCTCTCAAGGTTAGGAACTCGGTTACATGTTGGTTGAAGGACTGGCCTGCCATTGATTCTGGCCACAGGAGATGTGGCTGTGTTTGTGGCTTCTATGCCTAGAGTCACTTTGGTCTTGGAGCTGCACATTTTGTTGCTTATTTATGTTTGGTTTGATTGGGATGTGTACTTTGTTGGGGGTGATGACAAGGAAGAGGATTAATGGATTAGGGGGTGTGATGAACTAAGGATAATGGAACAATGATAATAGGGAAGAAATGATGGGTGTGATGAAGGATTGAAGGAGAGGGAAAGGAGGGATGTGGGGTTTTATAAAATGTGAGGATGGTGGGGGATAGTTAAAGAGGAAGTTGTATAACATGGGAAGGTGGGAATCTGCCATACAACCTCTTGTGAGGGGCATTACTTTAGGCAAACTAAACCACGAGGGGTGAATATGACATAAGGCATCTTTAGGTATACTTCTTATGAAGCACTTTTAGAGTGAAAAATAAGAAAAGAAAATGAAATAAACTTCTCTATTATAAGGAAAAATTAGTTTATATGGAAACTAATTCATAGAAATTTTATCTTATTAATTTTTCAAAAATCTTACTTTTAATTTATGCATAAATTAATTTTAATCTATGAAGAAGTTTATTCAAATAAAATCATATGCTTCTAATTATCTAGATCATTTCACAAGGTCTTAAAGTTAATAGTTATTATTTCTTGGCTGAATATTGGAATTAGAATTACGAGGCTTCAATTTTGGAGGGAATCAAGGAAGCTTATTGGGGGATTCGCTGGGTTGGGTGGAATATTGTGTAGTGTTGGAGTCATCAACCATGTTTTACTTGCATGGAACTTCCCCCATCTCAACTTTGTGCATGTTTGCGTTTCAATGCAAACGTGAATTTTCACGTTTAGTTGAAGCAAAAATATTTTGCTTTCACGTAAAATCCATCTTCAACGTGGATAGAGAGTGTAAAATCAAGTTTAAAAATCCAATCCAAACATGCACTTTGTTGTAATAATATGCTTCTCTTCCCTAGGATTTTTTTAGGTAGGAACTGATGGAACTCGGAACGTAAAAATACAAGAAAAGGACCAATCATTGGTCTAGTCTTTTTAGCTGTATGGAATCTCAATCTCTTTCTCTTTCTAGCTGTATGTGAGAGAGAGAGAGAGTAAACGGTTAGGGGGGGTAGAAAAAGCACATGAGACACTTTATATGCATTACAAAGTTTGCACTGAGCATAAAGTAAGTCTGTTCTAGGATTGGTTTGAATGGTGTTGTAAGCTGTAAGTTGTAACTAATATAATAAGAGGGTGAGATCAAGTGAGACTTTTGGTGGGGTTTTGATGACACTTAAGTGAGATCTTTTCATTTTTTTTGGTCTTATATTTCTGTCCAACTTCTTATTTGTGTACTTTCCAGGTAAACTGAGTTGCATATGTTATCATCAGTGGTCCTTATGTTACTGCCAATTCATGAAAAAAAATGGAAGATATCTCTTAAGCTGAGAAATCTGAATCTTAATCCTTACAGGTTGGCTGAATGACATGTTCACTTAAAACACGTTATGCCCCAAAAGTGTAGGACCCTACTCAAATTCTTCCACTTTATTCTATCTTGGCAACCCCATCAAGAATTGGCAGTTACAATTTGCTCACTTTCTTGGCTAACTTACGTTGCCAGTTACAATTTCCTCTTAAATATATGATCTCATCTTTTTTTTTTCCCCTTATTAATTAATAGAAATTACAATTACGATATTAAGGTTCGAGTCCTGTATAGAGGTTCCAAGTATATGATCACATATATCTAGCCAAATCAATGTCTATCTTGCCTTTGTAGCTCTCCTCTTATTGGAAGATTTCGTATTAGAATCACAGAGACAAAGTAAAGAATTATATTTTTTGTAAAGGATAGAGTATCTCAAGGGAAAAAGTAAACCGAATAAATGAAAAGGAAAATAAAGAAAGGTTAAAAATTTGATTCCCCTTAAAGTCATAATTTTACACTATCCAGTAGATTTCTTAGATGGCCCTTTATTTGAGCAGCATCCTAGGTACCACCTACACACCCACTTTAGTTAATGAATCAGTTAATCTTTCACTTCATTTCATATAATTCATGTGGTTGTTGTCTGCTATATATGTAAAAAACATGTAGGTTTAGTGACATGATGAGCTAGCTCCTTGATGTCTCAAAGTGTCTACGTTTTATGTAAAGTGATGTATGGTTGAAGGAAATAATATCATTGATTTCCCAAAGCAATGTGCTATTTATATTTCCATAAATCTGCTACTAGTCTATTACATTTTTCAACCTTTTCATAGGGCCTTTATGATGGTCTAGTAAACTTTATTGTGAACTATGTGTTACGGTTTATAGAAACTTTTGCATCCAAGTGACACTGGATCATGGGAGGAATGTTAATGCCGGACTATATTTAAGTTGTTTGTTGAATGTATTGACTTTGTATCTGCCATTGAGTTCTTAGGAAGGAGGGGTAGGGGAAGAAAGTGGTTACAAAAGTAATGGATTTATAACAAAATGGGGGAAATTTGAAATTAATCATTGCTTATGAGACACCAATTTTTTTTTTTCATTTATTGATTTACTTCAACGGTAATATTTGGGTGTAATATTGGTATAAAAGAAAGTAGTAATTACTAAATTTAGATTACAATTATTGACATTGACCATCCTCTAACCCTTTCTCGTACATCACATTCCTTTCCTTTTATAGATTTTTGCATTTTAAAGGACCACATTTTTGCTTGTGTTGCAAGCATATGTACGAGTAGTAGTACACGAGATATTGTACTAATCAATTAGAAACTATTGGGACCTTAAATTTGGGTGAGACATTGATTTGTTGAGAGTTTATGGTTGATGGAGTTTCTGGAATCTATAGTTGTAGCGATTGAATCAAAGGAGATTGTATCTTGAAAATTGGAGTTTTGGTATCCTTGATGAGAGATTGAAATGTTGGTATTTTCCTTGAGTGTTGGTGCTTACATGTTAACTTTTTATGGTTTAGGTAGCATGTGAGTTTTATTTTCTAAGTCTGTTGTGCTAAATATGTGAATTATTTTGGTTCAGGATTGTAGTGAGAAGCTTGAATACGAATTTGAGGTGTGAGTTTGGAAGAATTGAGGTATTTTTGTGGCCTTAGATATATTGATACACTATTGTTGTCTGGTGTAGAGGATATTTTCGCTGCAGTTTTGTTGTGTCAGTATGAGTACCGTATTGACAGATTTAGATTTTATGGTCTTCACAAAAGTTGTAGCCTTGAACGTTATCTTTCCAATGGAACTAGAATCAAGTAAAACGGAGGTCTAGAACTCTAGTTATAGCTACTTTGGTGATCAAAGGTGTAGCTATAAGCTCTGAATATATCTGTGGTGGTTTTTGAATTTTTTAGCTAAGAAGATGATCTTTTTAAAATCTCATTTCTTCATAGGAGTTATAGCTTATTCTCTTAGCTTTCTTTTGAGATAGTTTTGAGATCTTTTGGATGAGTATAACTCTCTAGGTATAATTTTCTTTGACAGTTGTTGAAGGGATATGTATGGTGTAATGATATTTTTGAGTTGTTAGGCAATGCAAAAATAAAAATTGATTTTGTCATGATGTTCTGAGATGTTTTCATGTGGATTGAGAGGTTGTTTAAGGTTGTATGATGTTATGTGGTAAAGTTGGTTCATGTACATGCTATATGAAGTAAACGGTGATTGATTTGTACATGCCTAGAGATGGTATATATATGAAGGTTTAAAGTAGGTATTCTAATATGATTGGTCATGTGTGTATGTTGATATGAGGATAGATGATCCTATGGATCAATTAGTGGATGTTTGTGTGTTTAGTAAGGTTGACCTCAAGGTGTGATATCATTAGATTGGAGTTGAGAGTGAGGATTTATCCAAGACAGCTTTAGGCTAAGTTATCTAAGTATGATTTTTTGTTGTATGAAGTCAGTTTTCTAGGTCTTTTAAATTTTAGTGGAGGTATAATGTAGATCTATCTAAGGTAGAAGTTATACTTAAGTGGGAGATACCTGAGTCTATTAGTGAAGTTAGGAGTTTCTTGGATGTTAGCTCATTATTATTAGAGATTTATTGGGTAAATATCTAAGATAGCATTACTTTTGACTAGGTCGACTAGGAAGAGTGTTGTCTTTGTGTGGGATAGTAAGTGTGAGAGTAGTTTCCAAACTCTTAAGGAAAGATTGACTAGTGTTAATATTACCAAATTTTAGTAAGTCTTTTGTGGTATATTATGATGCTTCTAAGTTGGATTTGAGAGAAATTACCCTACCCATGATCTTAAGTTAGCGGTTGTAATATTTATACTAAGATTTGGAGACACTACCTATATGATTCTAAGCTTGAGGTGTTTAGTAATCGTTAGAGCCTTAAATATCTTTTGACCAAAGGAGATAGTTGAAATTTCTTAAGGACTAGGATTTTAATCTTAATTGTTATCTAGGTAAAGCCCATGTGGTGATCGATGCTTTGAGTAGGAAACCTCTATATTTATCTTCCCTTATAATTAGAGAGATGGATCGTTGGGCTCAAATTAAGAATTTAAGTTTGACTTGTGAGATTACTTCTAGTGGTACGAGACTAGGAATGACTCGAGTAACTAGTGGGTTGTCAAAGGAAAATCGGAGGAGCACAATTAGTTGATTCATTTTGGTGACAAGATATGAGGCTATAGGACAAGGTAATGGATAAGTGTTTACCTTAGGTATAGATGAAGTGGTAAGACTTTGAGATCGAGTATGTGTACCTAGTGAATTAATGGATGAGATTAGAGAAGCCTAGGAGTTAGATCCATTCTTAGTGAACCAAGTAGAGAGGATTGGTAGGGGTATAGATAGCCCTTTGCGAGTGGAAGTTGATGGTGTTTTGGAGTTCAATGATAGGATCTATGTGCCTAGTAATCTTGAATTTAGGAAGATGATCTTAGAGGAAGGACATAAGAGTACTCTTAGCATTCATTTACGAGCTACTAATATATATCAGAGTGGCGCATCGGAAGTGTGGTGGCCTAAGGTGAAGAGAGGAATAGAGGAAATTTGTGTACTCATGTGTAGTATGCCAGAAGTCTAAGGTGAAACACTACAAGTCTTTAAGATTTTTATAGCTTTTAGACGTCCTAGTTTGGAAGTGAGATTTTATATCTATGGATTTAGTTTCAGTTTTGCTTGATATGCTTAAGAAATTTGATCTTATTTGGTTAGTGGATAGCCTCACCAAGATGGCTCCCCTTACCCTTGTTGATATTAGATATTCTTTAGAGAGATTGATAGAGATGTACTTCAACGAGGTAGTGCGGTTACACGAGATTTTTTTTTACT